TGGCAGTGTTATAGAAACACCTTCCTGACCTGGCAGTGTTATAGAAACACTTTCCTGACCTGACAGCATTACAGAAACACCTTCCTGACCTCCTGACAAGGAGAGTAGGACTCCCAAATGAGCACAGCTGCACAACAACCCGCCCAACCTTTGCTTTGGTTTGCACAAAGCTGCTCCTATCCAGCCAGAACCCTTCTCCTGACCCCATCAGACCAACTGTGTTCAGTGCCTCCCCTGGGGGGTCACTATGGCAGAGCTGCTGAAGTTGAGGCACAGCCCAGCACCCCCAGTTTGCTCCTGCTCCCACCCAGCTCCTTACCAGGGACACATCTGGCAGGGTGTTGATGCTGCTCTGGTGGCAGTCCCCAGCTCCCTCCAGCTCTGACGTGTTCTGGGAGGGCAGAGAAGGAAGAGAGAAGGAAGGACAACAGAAATTTAAAACTCTCCTCCCCTCCCACCCAGAGCAGTGGGTCTCAGATGCAAAGAGAAGCCGCTGCCACTGCTTTGTGAGTCCAAAAATGTCACCAGGAAATGCCACACCACAGTTTTGAGGACATCACAGCTCCAGGAACCCAGAAGGGATTTCCTGTGGGAATCTGTTAGTAGGGATGGGCCCAGGGAGAGGCCACGGATGCAGCCAAGCAGAGCAAGCCTGGCTGAATTGGGGGGGTCAGAGTGGAGCTGGGGGTGCAGCATCTCTGCTTGGGGGGAGCATCCCCAGCAAACCCATCCTCACAGCAAACCCAGCCTCAGCCTCCCTCCCTCAGTATCTGCTGCTCTGGAAGGCTGAGCTCGGCTCCTGTCTCGCTGGCAGGGCTGTTTGGATGGGGCAGGGCACAGTTTGTGTTTAAGTGCCTGTTATTTATTGCAGGGTAAACAGCTGATTAGCTGAAACGCTGGTGCATCTGCATCTCCCCCAGCTGCTGGAGGCTGCTGCCGTGCCTGTGAGATGTTCTTGTCCCAAAATAGACACGGGAGACAATTAAGACCATTAGAGGAGCAGCAAAAACATTGATGCAAAGTGCTTTTATCCCTGTGGCTTCTGAAGGAGCCCTGGAGAATGAGAACACAAAGAAACATCTTGTTCAGGGAGTGACAGGTAAAGGCCTCGCTTGGGAAACCTTCCTCTGGCATGGGTGGTTTCACCCTCAATTATTCCAGCATAAGGGAAGATGGCTTTTTAAAGAGAATCACAGAAGGATTTGGGTTGGAAAGGACTTTAAAGATTCTCTAATTCCAACCCCCTGCCATGGGCTGGGACACCTCCCACCATCCCAGGCTGCTCCCAGCCCTGTCCAGCCTGGCCTTGGGCACTGCCAGGGATCCAGGGGCAGCCCCAGCTGCTCCGGGGAACGTGACTGGCAGTCACAGTTGTGTCGCTACTAAAATGGGAATAATCTGCCTAATAACCCCTAAAACCTGCCAGGGCCATTTCCCCAGCCCTGTGCCCATCCCAGGCCACGTCCCAGCTCTGGCCTGTCCTGAGCTGTGGCTCCTCTGCAGATGCTGGGTGGACACAGCAGCTGTCCCTGTGCCCCCCAGGGACACTGCCACCTCTGTCCCCCCCAGCCAGGGACACTGATGCTGCTCCTCCTCCTCAGGACACCTCTGGCTGCTGCAGTGTCTGAGCAGGGGATTTGCCTTTCCCCAGGCTCGCTTCTTTGGGGTAAATTAAACAGTTATTGCTCTGGGCCATAAAACACGAGGACTTTTTAGCACATTTGCTTTCAGGAATTGGCTATTTCAAGGCTCTGCCTTCCTGGATTTCCCTTGAAAGACTCATGGAAGCCACTGCCCTGAAAAATGAGTCTCTCTATTGAGAAGGCTGCTCCCTCCTGCTCCTCTACCCCATCTATTTTCCAGTTCCTCACAGAAACTGGGGCCAGGGGAGGCCCTTCCAGCCCCTCCTCAGAGCAGCTGGGAAATTTTGTCCTTCTTATCCTAAAAAGAGTCCCCAGCAGGAGTGATGGAACTGCAGAGTATCTTTCAGACATGAAGACAGTTTTCATTTGCAGATTAAAGGGTGGAGAAACTGCCACCTCCCCGGGGAACACAGCCCAAGCTTTAATTAACCTCTCAGCTCCAAATCAGTCCCCTCATTTCCAGTTACTGCTAACGAGAGCTTTGCTGAGCTCAGCCTGAGTCCTGTGGAGTTTCAATTCTGAACAACTGGGAATAAGCCCAGCTTCCCTCCTCTCTTCCCTTCCATCTCCCACTCTGGAATGCAGCCACAGGGATGGAGGAGCCACAAGCCTCTGCTCCAGATTTTTGGGGCTCTAGCCATGCCTAATGACCTCCACACAGTGGCTTCACTCTGTCCTTATCCTCATCCTGTGAGAGGAGCATTCCCAGCTCATGGGAATCCTCCACGTGGGATATCCCAGGGAGCTGGGAACAAGCCAGAACCTCTGGAACCAGCCCTGGGAGGAGCAGGCACCTCTGGATGGCAGCAGATTTGCTAGGCACTTTGTGGCTGCCCCTGCAGCCCTGGAAACATCCAAGGCCAGGTTGGACGGGGCTCTGAGCACCTTGGTGTGGTTGAAGATGTCCCTGCTCACTGCAGGCCAGTTGAATTAGATGGGCTTCAAAGGTCCCTTCAACCCAAACCATTCTGTGCTCTGTGATTTTCTGCTGGTGGTCAGCACCACAGGCAGGGCAGGGAGGGCAGTGTGGGGTCTGCCAGGCTCCAGCTCTGCTGCTCCCTCCAAAAACCCCATCCCCGAGGTGTCCATGGGTCGGGTTCAAGCTGAGCCTTGCAGCACCAAGGGCTGGGGGCAGGAGCTGCTCTGTGCAGTGACAGGGAGGAGCAGCAGACACGGGTGACACGAGGTGCAGGAGCTGTGACACCCCCTGGCCAGCCCGTCCTCCCCCTGCCCACACACACCGACCCAGCCCCTACCTCCATCAGGTCTATGAGCCACAGCAGTCGCTCCTGGGATGTGCCAGGGGGAGAGCAGAGGAAAACAAGCACAGAAACGAAAATGTAACATCAGGGAAGGCATGGAACAAATGGGTGAGCAGAGAGAATCCTGGCTCGGTGCTGCCCTTGTCCCCCAGCCCCACCCCACAGAATCCACATCCAGCTGCATCCAGGACTGGGGGAGGGAACAGCCACAGGGGCTGAGGGAAGAGTTTGGGAGCCCTCCCCACATCTGCTATCCAAGCACCCATCCACCATGAGCTGGTGCTCTTTGCTTGGCAGCTGTTTCAGCGAGAGCAGGCACAACCATCTCCAGAGGCAGCATTCCCATCATCAGGCAGGGCTTGGAGCAGGGCTCCAGGTTCTTACACGGTTCTCCGTGGTTCTTACACCCATGGGAGAGGTGCCCCACAGCCAGGGAGGGCCTGCAGTGGCACCAAGGGACACGAGCTCTTGAAGGAAGCTTTTAAAGCAGTGCTGCCCACTCCCTTCCCTGTGCCTGGTGTCGCTCCCTGAGCCCAGGGCTGGTGTCCCAGGTGGGGCTGGGCCACCGCTCGTGGCCAGGCAGCCACGTTTGGCACGTGTTGTGGAGCAGGAGGCACACCTGGAGCACGTGGCACAGCCCCAGGCACGGGCACAGCATGAGAGCAGAGTGCCACGCTCGCCACACAATCCTGGCAGACCCGTGCCAGCCCTCAGAAAAATTTTCCCAGCAGCTCCTTGGAGAGCAGAGCAAAACTCACTTTGTTTATGTGGATCCAGAAAGGATCTCACTGAAATCCCTGCTGACCTGAGGCACTTGTGGATTTAACAGGACAAAGACACAGCTCTGATGCTCTGACACTCTCTGAGGCCTCTCACAGGCAGGCAGAGCCCCAGGAAAGCCCCCTCCCCTCTCCCCCACGGGCTGTGCTGGGTGGACCCTCCCCAGCCCCATCCCACCCCCGTGGGCTGCTTTCCTGGCAGAGGAGCCAGCACAGAGCCCATTGTTCCTCCTCCTTTCCGTGAAGGGTTTAATTTCCAAGGTTACTAATGCATTTATGATGAAAGGCATTTTATGGCGAGGAAATTAATTTGGGGGCTGTGTGCCTGCACAGTCTGAGGTGATTACAGTAACTTAATTAGACAGTGCGTGCGACAGGGCCCTGGCAGAGACGTGGGAGTGCTGCTGAGTGCTGGAGAGTGGGCTGGGAATGGGATGCAGCTGCCTGGCCACTGTGGCTCCCAGTGGGATGGGGATCAGGCAGCCAGCACCCTTTGGGAGGTGAGTTCAGAGCTGCTGAACAGCAGCAGGCATGGCAGCACACTGCTGGGATTTCTGCAGCTCCAGAGGATTTCTGGGGGCAAGGCAGGCTCAGTCCCTCACGGGGATGAAGGGACACAGGGAACAGCAGCACCTCAGTGCCAGGGGCACAGAGATACCCAGCAGCTCACAAATCACCACAGACAAATAAAAGCTTTGGGGGAATCCATGGGGGGAGCTGGACAGGGCTCCCTGTGGGGTGAAATGACTTTACAGCACTCCAGGGAATCAGTTTGCTGCAGGGATGGCAGGAAGGGGTGCTGAGAGGAGCAGGACCAGGCAGGAGGGACGTACCCGGGCGGAGCTGACGGTGGTGGCAGTGAAGTGGCTGCTGGAGGACGAGACGGTGTCGCTGTAGGACATCATGGAGTAGGAGTCAGTGCTGGGCCCCGCGGGCTGCCGGGCCTTCATGGACTCGATCTCCCTCTTCAGCACCAGGTTGTCGAAGCGGTCGAGGTCTTGTGGGGAGATCACCCCCCGCACCTCGGAGAGCAGCGAGAACTGGCCAGGCACACACAGGCAGAGACAGGCTGGAGCACAGTCACATTCCTGGGAAGATGGAGACCTCCCTCCCACCATGGTCAGCAGTGGCAAGGGGAGGTACTGGCAGGTGGTGGAGGTTCGGTCCCAAATGTTACCAGAAGCTCCTCTGCCACCGAAACCCAGTCTGCATCCCCCAGAATGGCCCTGGCACAGGGTGCCCAGGGAAGCTGTGGCCACCCCTGGATCCCTGGAAGTGCCCAAGGCCAGGCTGGATGGGTCTTAGAGCAACCTGGGCTAGTGGAAGGTGTCCCTGCCATGGCAGGGAGTGGAACAAGATGATTTTTAAGGTCCCTTCAACCCAAACCAGGGTGGAGTTCTGTGCTGGTTCCACGATAATGCGGATTTGGCTCCCACACCCTGCTCCTTTCCCTGAGCAGATCACCTTGGAGTGATCAGCACTGTGACAATGCCCACACTGACTCTGCTCACCCCACCAGCCCCGAGAAGCTGTCCCTGCCCTGGTCAGAGCCTCACCTTGGCCTGTGTGTTGAGCAGCTCAAAGAGGGCCATGACCAGAGCATCCACAGAGATGTTGCCCTCCTTGTACTCGTCCAGGTAGTAGCCCATGGTGGCCCGTTCCTGCTCGTTGAGCAGGTGCCGTGCCTGCTCCTCCAGCATGACGCGTGTCTGGTTCACCATGGTGCTCAGGGTCACCTGCGAGCCGGCCAGCCCCCGGTAGAACACGGGCTGCAGAGAGAGCAGAGAGGGCTGCAGGGGACAGTGACAGCCTTGGGGCTGGCAGTGCCCTGCTGAGACAGCTGGGCTGCACCCAGGAGTGCCCCTGCTCCGGGCTCTGCCCACCAGCCCTCTCTGCCTGTGTGTCACACTGCAGGGGGGAGCTGGGAATCTCACTGGAAGGAGGATTTTGGGGATGGCAGGAGGAAGGTGCCCCCAGGAATTCATCAGCCTTTCAGCGTCACTGCTTTGGGTAACTCCAAAGCTGTGATCAGAGGAGCTGAGCTTTGCCCTCTGGGACAGGGACAGCAGGCAGGGAACGGCTGGAGCTGGGCCAGGCCAGGCTCAGGCTGCACATCAGGGCAAGGTTCTTCCCCCAGAGGCTGCTGGCACTGCCCAGGCTCCCCAGGGAATGGGCACGGCCCCGAGGCTGCCAGAGCTCCAGGGATGCCCAGGCTGGGATGTTGGGGGGTCTGGGCAGGGCTGGGAGCTGGGCTGGGTGATCCTGGGGGTCCCTTCCAGCTCAGGATATTCTGTGATTCTCTGATTCTCTGAGTTCATGCAGCACCAGTCAAGTTTCCCATCCCTTTTCAGCAAGTGGAGAGCCTGTCCCCCAGCCAGGCAGTGATTTAATCCCAGGCTGTGCTCCTCCCTGGCTGAACTGGGGGAACTGGCCAAAGGAGACAGGCCAGCTCCCCATCCTGTGGAAAAGGCTCATTTTCCCCCACTGCCAGCTTGAAGCAGACCCTAGTGAAGAAAGAGCCACTGGCAACCAAAGGAGCCCCAGGGAGAGACAAGCCTGGCTGCAGATGAAAGGCTTTTTCCCTTGGAGAGGGATTTCTTAGGGGAGGTCCTTGGTGTTTCCTCCCAAACAGAGTTGGCACAGGGAAATGGAGCCAGACAAGACCCTGACTATCCCAGACACAGAGAGGAGTTGAGGCTGGGGAACATGTTTTGCCAGCAAAGAGTACAAAGCTGTTATCAGTGAGAGCCACGTGTGAAACCTCCCTGCTTAATTTCCATTTAAATTTCCCATTTAAAAGCTTTGCAGGGAGGTGTGGGGAGAAGATGCTGGCACAGAGCTGCAGGCACAGCACGGGGCGAGTCCCTGTGCCTGCTGCAGCTCTCAGGGCCCAGACAGCCACCACGAGGAAGGAACTGTGGTCACCTCTGCAGGGTGGAGGGATTCCCCATGCTCCTTGTCCATGGGTGATCATTGCCCCTCGCCCACTAAGGCTGGAGGGCACCAGAGGTGCCTGGAAGTGGCACAGGAGAGGGGACACTGCTGTGACACTCTGTAGAACACAGCTGCCAACACAGCATGGGGAGGAGAAAAGCCCATTAAAATCCCAAACCAGCATCCCTGCTATAACCAGGAGCAACAGGTCCCTCCCTCCCATGGAAAATAAACCCCAAGAGCAGTGATGTTTTCCCAAGGCATCGGGAATGTCTTACCCTGGCTGCCACGTCCATAGCATGGTCACCCACTGCCCTGCGAGGAGGGAGAAGATCAGTTAGCACTGAGAACCTGTCACTTGTCACCTCCTCTCCTCTCTGGAGAGCCAAAAGGCAGGGGACAAGGGGAAGGGACAGCACGACATTGTCCACACCCCCTCTACCCTACAGGCCAGAGATGCTTCCCTGATACAGAACGGGGAGCTCCATGGGCAGGCTGGGGGTGCCCACCCTGCCAGGGCGCTGTGAGCACCCCCAGGGGCCGTGAGCCCCCCAAAAAGCCGCCCAGGCACGCACCCCGCCGAGCTGAGCAGCGTCTCCCCGAGCTGAGAGCTGGTGATCCAGCGGGTCTCGTCCACGGTGGTGCGGGCGTGGGGCAGGCGCCCGATGTCCTTCACCGTCATGATGAGGTGACGCGAGGACTTGAGCAGCTTGACGGCCTCGTCGTGGGGGATGCTCAGGAAGCTCCGGCCGTTCACCTCCAGGATCTGGTCTCCCACCTGTGGAATCAGGATGGGCTGAGCCTGGTGAGTCCTTGGAGCTTTCCCCTTGGGATTAACGCTTTCCTGTCCCAGCAGGGAGGGGCTGCCCAGTCTAACCCAGCTCCGGGTGAGGGACACAGCAGTGGGAGGGAGCAGGGAAAACGCTGTTGGATGGAGACAATCCCTCACGCTGGCAGCCAGGGAGGACCAGGCTGTGGATCCCAACTCAGACTCATCTGCCCAGTCTCCTCCATCAACCAGACCAACCCCAAAGAACATCAAGGCCTCCAGCCCCAATCCCCGCTGCTGCTCTGGGAGGCCGGGAACCATCTGTGGGAGCCCCAAACCTCAGATCTCTGCATGCAGGGTCTCACCACAGCCTCCCGCAGCATCTGGGACAGCTGCACCCCAGCTCTCCTCTCCTATTTCCTCCCCAGCTGCTCCTAAGAGATTTCATTCTGTGGGCAAGGCCTTTGCTGGAACCAGGAGCTTCCCTGACAGCCTGGCCTTGTTTAGACACATCTAAATCTGGTGTTTCACCCTTCATCCCAGCTCCTCTTCCTCTGTGCTCCTCCTCACTCCTGTATCACAGCTCACCCTGCTCCTGATAAACCACATTTTTGAAACTGCCCTTTCCTGTCTTTGCTTAACCACAGGCCTCAGCTCAGCTCCACCGAAACACAGCACGGATTTTCTTCTCTGCCTGGAGAGGGAAAAGTTCCAGAGACACAAAACAAAAATGATCAGTGGCAGATGAAGGTGCCTGTGAAAGGACAGATGGAAGAGATTAGGCCTGATAAATTTAGAGAGGAGGTGGTGTGGGGGGGCTGGATGGAGCTGGACAAAAGAACACTGGCAGAAGCCAGAGAAGGGCTCCTGATTGCCCTTCCCTCTGCCCAAAGGACAGAGGAGGCTCAGGGAGGCTGGAAGGATGTAACAGAGTGGTGCTGAGGGAAAAAAGGACAAGGAGCAAGAGCATCATGGAATTTGGGTTGGAAAAGGCCTTTAAGATCATTGAGTGCAGCAGAGCTCAGCTCCACGTTCAGCTCCATCCAGGGACCCTGAGTGGATTTGCCTCATTCTTCACCATAAATTTCAATAGTTTGTGTTGGAAGTGACCTAAAATATGCCAGAAGTGACCTAAAATATGCCAGAAGTGTGAAGGGAAGGATCCCAGGGGGAGGCAAATGACACAAATGACTACGCTCCCAACCATGGGGCTCCACAAATATCTCAGGTTCCCTTCAATTTCTGTCAGCTTTAAATCCAGAAAAAAAGTCAGAAAATTGCTGATTACCAATGAAACAGGGGAGGGGAATTGTGCCAGGGCCTGAAGTGCCAAGAGAAGCACCTGCTCAGGTGCACAGATATCATCTCCCAGGTCTTTCTGATCCATCAGGCAGCCCCATGGAGTGGATTTTGCTGCTCAAACAAGGAGCACAGAGTTCACTGCAGCACCGAAGCAATAAAAATCCAAATTTGATTAGGCAGTTTTATTGCAGTTACGAATCTTTAATGTGTTTCCATACCAGGGATTAAATTTTCATGATTTTTTGGTTCAGGACAGTTACACAGGTTTAATAATCTTTCTTTAATTTCTCCTTTTTAAGGGTGAACCAATAGGAACCTGGCATATTCTCATAACATCAGGGGGACCAGAGGGACCCTGGATTTTTTGCTAATTAACATAGATAATAATTATATTTTTCCCCCCAAATTCAAGGACAAGTGGGAAAGTAACAAAAACGCTGCAGAGATGCAAAATACCCATCTACTAAAACAAAAGCTGACCCTGAGAAATGATTTGCTGTATTCACAGCTCCAAACTGGCACAGAATAAAAGAAGTAATAAAAAGACATAAAAAAAAAAAATAAAACACAGGAAAATTATTGCCCTGGATATTTCAGGAACTACTTTTCAGTTGTGCTCAGCTAATGGTGGGTGGATACCCGGGATGCGCTGAATGCTTGAACACCTCTGAAAATGTGGATTATTCTCATTTCTTAGGGAAAAACGTAGCCTGAAATGCAGGGGCTGAACACGACACACAGAAAGTGACAGACCATGACAAGAAGAGAGCTTGGAAATAACACCTCGATGACAGCCCTGGCTCCTTCTCCTCCTGCAGACACTGGCCAAGGGGAGCTGCAGTCAAGAGAAACTTAATGGGCTTCAGACAAGGGTTCTGAGCACCTAAAGTCTCTTAAAAATAATCAGAATTGGCTCTGGGAGAAATTCAATCAGGCAGAAAAACAGGTAAGAGATTTCAAATGTGAGTTAAGGTTAAATGACACCAAACTGAGCTGGGAATATCAGGGCCAAGGGGTGCCAAATGGGCTGGCACTGGCATCAGCCCTGTTTAAGGCCACTGAAGTGCCAGCAGAGAGGCTAAATGACACTGGAGATAGCACTAAAGTAGAAGGAGCCTCTCTCCAGCACAAATAATTACCAAAAGCCCTTAAGAAATTAAAGATACGGGCAGGAAAATGTAGGGATCGGTTTGGAATTGACCAAATGAAGGCTCGCAGTAAAGAAGGAAGTGCTCAGCTTCTCCAGGAGGGAAAGGGCTCAGGGCATGATCCACGTCCAACAGAGCCTGTGGGAAGCGTCCAGGACAGATCTGGGAGCAGGACAGGGAATGAGGGGGGCCGTGGCTGAGTGAAAATGGGTCCTTTCCCCATTGGCACTGCAGCCCAGAGAGCAGGAACACACACAGAGGGAAGGGGCTCTCTGGGGGTGGCACTGATGGGGGGATGTTTCTGTGGCCTCCCAGGAGAGGAGATCTCTGTCCCCATCAAGGTGACACCACTGGAAGGACCAGGAGAAGTGTTACAGCTTGGCTACCACAACCACGAACCTCCTGAGTGACTTCCTCACTTTGCAGCTCATTCCCAAACTCTGAGCGAACCACAAGGCTTTTACTCCATCTTCTCTTTTCCAGGATATCTGTCTGTGCCCAGACCTCAAAGCTCAGTGCAGCTCTCAGGGGGTGGCTTTGGGATGAGGGGCACGAGGGCACCCCCAGGGAGTTTGGAGATTACACCAAATTGTGTCCAGGGAAGGGAATGGAGCTGGGAAGGGGCTGGAGAATTCCTGAGGGAGCTGGGAAGGGGCTCAGGCTGGAGCAAAGGAGGCTCAGGGGGAATTTCTGGCTCTGCACAAGTCCCTGCCAGGAGGGGACAGCTTACAGCTCAGGCTCTGCTCCCAGGGAACAGGGACAGGAGGAGAGGGAACGGCCTCAGGCTGGGCCAGGGGAGGCTCAGGGGGGATTTTGGGAAAATAAGGAAAACGTCCAGCACAGGCTGCCCAGGGCAGTGGTGGTGTCCCCACCTCTCAAAGGATTTAAAATCCATGTGGATGTGGCACCTGGGGACAGCAGCCTTGGCAGTGCTGGAGGAATGGTTGGACACGATGATCTTGGAGATCTTAAATTACTCTTTGTTCTATGACAGCCACTGCTGACGTAAAATCATTCTGCTCTTCCTATTTACAGTCTCCCTTTCCCTCTCCTCTCATATCTGGATAAATATGGATGGTGGCAGCCCTTTTCACCCCAGCCCTCGTTCTGGGAACTCAATATTGAGTTGTTTGCCCAAAGCAAGCTCCCTGGAATATGCTATTTCTGATCTAAAGGTCAAGGAGAGAAAACAAAAATGGCTTAAGGAGGAGAAAGAACCCCAATCCTGACAAAATACAGCATCAGAAAAAATGAGCAAGGAAGAAATCAGGGCCAGCAGAGCCAGGAACAGCATCAGGAGCTCAGCTCGTGCCGGGCACCGCTGGGAACGTCACGAAGGAGGCAGGAAGGACAGGAGCTGAAAGCAAACAAGGCTGACTCACCTCCCTCCTCTGCAGCCCTCTGCTAACCCCCACTTTTTCACTCTCCAAACTTCCTCAGAGGCAGCAGATTTTAAAACATGCCCGAAGAACACATTGTCAGAAGTTTCATGAATGAATAAACATCAAGAAGGCCAAGGCGAAGACTATGAATATTTAGTTATTGACTGACTGCAGAGATCCAGCCTGGTTTCTGCTGGAATTCTGCCTGCTGAGGGAGCAGAACAGCAGCACATGGACCAGCACCAGCAGGTCCTCTGGGACCCTCATCTCAGGAGCTTGGACTCTTGTTTCTGGAGCTTGGAAAAGTTTCTGGGCCTCAGAGAAACTTCCTTGGGTTTTCCTGACTTTCATTTGCCCTTCGATCAAAATTTAAGGGAAGTGCAAAACGTTAATTATTAATTTTAGTTATTAGAGTCCAAAATTGTGATTTGGTGATACAAGGAGGTAAAAATGAAATGTCTGGCAAATTTCAGATTGGTCTGGGTTAAAAGGGACCTTAAAGCCCATCCAGTGCCACTCCTGTGTTTAGGGACACCTTCCACTATCCCAGGCTGCTCCCAGCCCCATCCAGCCTGGCCTTGGACACTTCCAGGGATGGGGATCCAAAAATTCCCGGTGCCAGGGCAGTGCTGGTGAATCCACCTGGGGAGGTGAGTGAGGCCTCACCAGACACCAGAGCCCATCCCATTTCTCCTCAAATGTCTTGATCTCATCCTCAGCACCAGTCCAGGGCACTGAGAGGACATTTCAGGGTTTAACATGCATCAGATCTCAGCTGACACACAGAACAGGACTGGGAAATATGGAATAGGAAAGAACTGACCCTCAGAGCCCATGAGAATGCACTGGAGGAAGCAGTGATTGGATGTCATTGCAGGGAATTGGGTCATTTAGAGGGAAAAACACACCAGAAAAGAAACTGTGACTGAAGTAAAATGATCCAGCCTGAGGAGTCTGAGTGTCAAACGTGCTCCATTTCTGCCTGGCACACAGAGACATCCCATTGCTTCCTTTCCTACTTATTCCACTGGTGAACACACACAATTTTAACCCCAAATGTCCCTTCCAGGATCAGCTGTGATCCCAGCACGTTCAGAGAAGGGAACATCCTGAGTTTTGTCTTTCTTTTTCTGTTCAATATTCTCTCTATTCTTTACACATTTATTTGGAGCTCTGTGGCTTTTCCATAGGCACAAAGCCAAAACACATTCCAAAGCCCAAATCCCATCTTGGCTCTCCTTGGGAACCAAGGCCAGAAAACAGTTCTTTGAGACACATTTTTCACCAACAAAGTTTAAGTTTCCTCTGAGAGGGGAGGATTTAGAAGAGGCTTGAACAAGGGGGGAATTGCATCACCACTCATGCTCCTAATTGGTGATGGTTGTCAATTATGCTGATTTGCTAAACTTATAAAACTGTGTTCACCCCCAAAAGGGAGTGGATTTTTTTGACATTTTTTCCACATTTGCCCCTGGATGCCTCCAATAAAGACCAAACTTTACATCACCTCCTATACTGATATTACCTTAAAAGTGTGTTTCACTCTCTGGGGTCACTCTCACCTTCAAGCCAGTGCTCTCTGCCTCGGAGCCCTTGTCCACACCCGTGATGTAGATGCCCAGGGAATATTCTGCCCCTCCTCGGATCATGAGGCCCAGGGATTTCCCCTCGTTCAGGACCAGATTCACCTGCAGGGGAATAGGAAGAGACGTTTATGTGGTGTCCAAAACAGAGGTGGGACACAGCCACAGAGCCTGGGCTGGACAGCAGCTCCTGTGGGATTGAGGAGGCAGTGGGAGCACCAGGAAGAAAAGCTCTGGAAGCTTCAGAGAGCTTCAGAGAGGTTCAGCTACACGAGGGGCAGCACATCTGCGTGGATTTTCATCCACACTGATCCCCAGCAGTTTCCCACTCTCTCCTTTTACAGGTGCATCCCTGGGGTAGAAGCTGAGCTGAGAGAGACCCCCAAAGCCCCAAGAGCAGCAGTGGGGTGGTGCCAGCCAGCACTGGCTGTGAATTCCCACTCTGGCATTCCTGCCTGTGCAAACAGAGCCAGGATCCTTCTCCACCCAGACTGGGAATGAGCCCAGCTCCAGCTCTCCCCCTGTGCAGGGCCACCCCACAGCACAAACCCCACAGGGGGCTCCTCTCCCAGCCACCTGCCTGATTACCTCCAATTAACAAAGCCATGAAAACCTTCCCATAGAAGGAAACATTGCCACAAACTCCCTCTCCATGTGGGAAGCATTCCATATTTCCCACACCCTGCCAGGCAGCAGCTGGACAGATGTTCTCCCCACCAAACGCAGATTTGCAGAGCCAGCTTCCACCTGCCTTCATCCACCCTCTCCTCCTCACAGGGCCTGCCAATGTTTGGATGTTCAGGTGGGAATTTGGAGTGCATGAGCAATGCTCAGCTCCCTCGAGGACTCTCCATTTAAAATGGCCTTTGTTCACTCGCTGCATGACACTTTCTAAATGAATAACTCCAGGGTTATTTCGTTGCTTTGCTCCCAAGTTTTGAGTCACTTCTGGAGAAAAGCAGACAGCAGGAATAAAAACAAATGAGAAAAGCCAAAATGTGTTTCACACTGATAGAAACAACCAGAAACACGCTGTTTGTGAAGGGCATTTATATTGAAACCCCTTCGCTGCAGTCAAACCAAAATCTTCCACATTTACTTGGATGGAAAAATAATTCTCAGCTTCATGTCGGTAATTAATCCATCTTTCTAGAGGACACAGCATCACAGAGGGAATTCAGGCCAGTCTTAGAGTGGCTGGTATTGAAAACCCATTTTCTATCTTGGTGACGGAAACACAGAAATCAACAGCAGGACACAAATCCACCTAAGGCTCCACATTTTGGATTTAGAGAAACGGATGCAAAAAAAACCTGTAAGACATCAACTACCTGCACCAGCATCCTCCTCTGAAAAACCTGATGTTCCCTGGGCTTCCTTTCCCTGCTTATATAAAGGGCAGAAAGTGCTGGAAACAATTTTAGCATTGAAGGATTATAAAGGAATTACAGAGATTTTCATGCTCCAGGCTGGAGAGACGAGCTGGGCACTGGACCCACCCAAAGGAGCAGCCAAGGGAAGCTTGGTTTTCTCCTCACAGGGAAATCTTACTCTGGAGCACAGAACACTTTGCTGAGTGGTTTTGAAAATCAGGAAAAATATTCAGCTTTTCTGAAGTGCTGTTACCTCCCAGTCTGCCTGATGGAATCTGCTGTAAGTTTTTCACCCCACCATGGCTGCGCCTCACAGAAAATTCCCCAGTTTGGGAAAAATACAAGTAGGAGAAATGCAGCGAGGTGCCTGGAATCCCAGATCACATCAGAATAGACTGGGAATGACAAAATTCCCTCTGGAAGTCCCCAAATGACATTTTTACATGCTGGGGTTAGCAGCAGGAGGGGCAGCTCCGCGTGCAGACATTTCCATTTCCCTTTAAACACTATCCTGGGTAAGCTGAGAAGCTGCTCCCCCCTCATGGGGAGAGCATCAGATGGAGTAAGAGATACCCCCTGTCCCTCTGCTGCTGAGGAGCTGCCACGTGAGCTGCTCTGTTCACCCCTGCACAGGGCAAACTGCGCTTCCAGAGGCAGGAAAGCCACGGATACAGAAAAAAAAAACCCAAAAAAACCCTCCAGGATCCCACACTGAGCCGGGCAGAGAAACCTCAGCGCTCCTGGAAAATCCATGGCCGCTGGCAGCCCAGAAAGTTGGGTTGCTGAGGGTTTAATTGCATCTCTTAATCAGCTAATAGCTCCCTGAATGAAGGCAGCAGCGGGAACTGCTGGGAACAGCGTGGCACAGAGCAGGGAGCAGGCAGGGAGCATCCAGCTCATGGACACAGCAGGGATTTCGGGAATGCCTGGGGAAGGGAGGGAGTGCTGCCAGGCACAGGGCTCAGTGGGGTCAGGCTGGGGAGGGAAGGTGATGCCTTTATGGGGCCACTTAAAAACAAAGGCCAGACAGAAATAAATGCATTTTAATTAATTAATTAATTAAAATAAATAAAAAGCAGTTCTATTTATTGTGGGGCCTTCAGGGACATTTTGGGCAGACAAAGCCCCCAGGGGCTGCACCCAAAAATGGGCCACAGGTCAGGGGTTTCACACTTTTATAAGTTTGGTCCATTTGCACATTGGGGTTCATCCCCCAGTTCCAGCTGCAGGGAATGAAGTCATTTCCCCCAAGTTTGCTGCCCCCAAGTCCCTTTTGTTTCCATCTCTGGGGCCTGAGGCACTGAGGTGTCCTTGGTTGCCAGGCCTGGAGAGGAATTGCTGTGTCTGCCCAAAGTGGGGAAGCAGCAGCTCCCAGTGTGTGTGGAGTTTGGAGTTACACACTGAAGAACTGCAGGATTGCAAATATATGGAAAATATAAAAGGTAAAATCCTGAGGCATCAAAGGAGCAATGGAGGGATAAGCTGGTTGCCACGATGAAGCAAAGGCTGAGCCACTCCAGGCTTAGGGATCACAGGGGACGATTTGCACTCTCCTTCCCAAGGTGTTTGCCTCCAGTGATGGGAACAGCACAGGGGTGGTGACAGGAGGGGTGGCCCTGCCATCAGCACTGTCACTCTGCCAGCCTGGGGTGACACTGGAGCACAAACCCAGCTGTGTCCAAGGAGGGAGCTACACCAGTGAACAGGCTGGTGTTCCCAGTGGTTCCCAGTAGTGATCCAGGCCCCCTCAACACAGCATTCCCTGGGCCAAGCCCTTCTGCTAGTGCCCTTCCATCCCTGCTGGCACACGTGTGATAAACACTCCAGTGCCAAGGCTTGGCCCAAACACAGAATTTTGGTTCAATTTCCACTTTATGCTTCTACTCTCCCCCCTGGCTGAAGCTCCCTCAGGGTGAGAAGCTGTAACACCCCTCAGGGTGAGAAGCTGTAACACCCCTCAGGGAGAGCTGGGATCACTCTGAGCTCCGAAATCCAGACTGTCCTGACACCATCCTAAACCAGGCAGCAAACAAGGGCAGCTGCTCTGTGGGGAAACTGAGGACACCACAGATTATAGAATGGTTTGGGCTGGAAAGGACCTTAAAGCTCAGCCAGTTCCACCATCTTCCACCATCCCAGGCTGCTCCCAGCCCTGTCCAGCCTGGCCTTGGGCACTGCCAGGGATCCAGGGGCAGCCCCAGCTGCTCTGGGCACCCTGTGCCAGGGCCTGCCCACCCTGCCAGGGAACAATTCCTGCCCAATATCCCATCTAATTCTATCATCATTCAGCTTAAAGCTGTTCCTTGTGTCCTGTCCCTCCATCCCTTGTCCCCAGTCCCTGTCCAGCTCTCCTGGAGCCCCATTATGTCCTGGGGGCTCAGTAACATCCAGGCAAGGTCACCCCCACACCTTGCCAGGCATTCCCACAGTACCATCACTGCCCAGTCCCCACCTCCTTCCCTGTGCCATTCCCAGCCCCAGGCCACTCCTGCGTGCATCACACAGAAACATTTGGAAGTCCAAGGTCACAGTTTTAATTTCTGTTTCAACACTGAAACATCTGCCATCTCCTGCAGCAGGAAATAAAGGAGAAAAGAATGCCATCATCAGGGAGGCACTTGCTTTGAGCCGATTCCTGCACAGGATTTCTTCTGTCTGGGTTTATGGAATTACCTGTTGACAGATTCAATTTTGCCATTAGAGAAAGGCCTTTCAGACAGGAATTAGGCTGCCCCAGAAGGGCTCAGCACGCAGCCGTGTGGCTGAGGAGGTTTCAGCCATGCTGGCAGCTATTTCCAGGCCATTACTGCTGCCACACGGCACAAACAACGCCTCGGGAGGCTCGCAGGGCTCATCCTCCTCCTGCTTCCCAAGGAAACCCCACAGTTTGTGTCTAGACATCCTGCACACAGCCAGTGTGGGGAGGCAGAGCTGGCTCACAGCCATTCCCGGGGTCCTGGCAGCAGCTGGGGGGTGCCAGGGCCATCAGAGCTGTCCCAGTGTCACCCCCTGGCCAGGGCAGCTCCCCAAGGCCACCCAACACCCAGCACTGGGGACAGGGAGCAGCTCCCAGGGCTGGGAGGTGACACAGGGCACAGGGCCAGTGCCCAAACCAAACCCTCTGCCCATCCCCAGCCTCAGTCCAGCTCCTGTTGAGCCCAACGCTGCCTCCCCACAGGGCTCACACACCCAGTGCCACTTTTGGGTGCTTCCTCTACTTAAAAGTGCCTAAAATAAGCGGGAGGTGGAACTGCTGCCCCTCAGGGTGGGCTGGGGTGTGACACAAAGGGCATTTTTGGGTAAGGCTGCTGGGACAGAGCTACAGAATGCCCGAGGCAGGAGGATGACTCCTGGAAACATCAAAGGCCAGGCTGGATGTGGTGAAGCTGAAGATGCCCCTACTCACTGCAGGGGGTTGGATTAGATGGAGTTGAAAGGTCCTTTCCAACCCAAATCATTCCATGGTGCACCAGTGGCTCACATCCCATATTCCAGTCCCACAGGGAACTAAACCAGCCCCCCACGAGCCTGGAGAGCCTTAAAAGCTGTAAACAAAATCAAACCCCAGCAAGGTCAGAGCAAGCAAACAGTGAGAGACGTGGGGAGCTGGATCACTCACACTGCAAATGTCATTACAAACTAATAGCAAGAAATCCTTCCTTCCCTCTCCTGCATCTCTTATCCTTCATGCTCAAGTAGTCACCAGCAGTGTCTCAAACATTCGAGCCACGCAATATTAGCACAGATATTTTATGGTTTTTTAAAATAATAATTACTGCTACTTTTGGCTCCAGAACTGCCTGAAGCTGAGGAGATGTTCACACTCTCTTTATCATGTTTTCTTTCTTCTGCTGCACCAAAAGCTTGCAGGAGTAAGCAGCTCCCCTGGCAATAAGCACATTAAGGTACCAATTCAGCTTATGGAATGGTGCTTCTCAGAGAACTCGCAGCCCAGCACTAGCAGAGTGCTCTGCACACTTCATCTTCCTCCCAGCACAGCAGCACCTCCGAGTTTGCACTGTCTGAGGGTTTCCAAAGTGCTTTTAATGAAATAAGCTGTCAATCCAGAGCTCCATCAATGACAATTCACAGCACAAATGGCTCTTGCTGCTGCTGTGACAAATCCAGAGGACTCTAAACCCGGACAGATGATAAAAATCCAAGTGCTCTGAAGCAGAAGGTGAGCATGGGAAGCAGGTCCCAGCTTTCCAGCAGGCAGTGACATCCTGGGATGGGGCTGGGGGCTTCCACCTGCTGTTCTGCCTGGCCTGGCTCCAGCAACACTTCCCAGAGCTTTGCACTATCACAAACCAATCCCTTCCTATTGCAAAACTTCCTGACCACTGGTGATTCCACCTGCGGGCACGGGGCTCTGAAGAGCCACTGGATTCACCAATCCCACCTACAGGAAAATGCTAAATTTGGGAAATACAGCACCTGCCACACACAGCACAGCCATGGGAAACAAGGATCTGTAACACCTTGCACAATCACAGGCTGAACCTGTCAGCATTCCCTTAATCCTCACCTCCCTTCTCCTCGTGGTAGGTCAGGGCTGCTCCGAAAAGCTGGCCCAGGTCTCAGCACACCCTCTGCTCACCCAGAACAGCCTCTGAGCCCAGCTCAGGGCAGGCTGGATTCTGCCTGGAATGGGATGGGGAAAGCCAAGCCAGCTGCTGAATCCAAATCCCCAAATCCCTTTGCTGGGGATTCTTCCACAGCTGGAAGTGAAGGAGTCCCTGTGGCCGCAGGAAAATGTGGATAAAGCCACAGGCTGGGAACGCCGCCTTTGGAGCTGAACCAGAGTGCCCAAAAGCACCCTGTTCCACACCTCATCCCACCAGGATGATCCCACAGATCCCTGGATGGATCACTTACACCAGCACACACCTCACAGTGGGGGTTCCCATTTCAAGCCTGGGGATAACAAATCCTCCTGCCTCGGGATAATCACCTCGGTGACAAACCCATCCTTCCAGGCATGCTGGAGGAAGAGGCAGCCAGAGAGGGATATTTCCACTGCCTGAAGAATGCCAGATGCCTCCAGCAGCCTTGAATTTAACCTTGGGAGAGCTGGAAACATCCCTTTGACTCCAGAGGTGTTGTGGCAGTGGATTCGCTCGCTGGGTTCCATCGCTCCAGCCTCTGCTGCAGGGCTGGAGCTGCTCTGCTGTGCTTCCCCAAACCCTGCCTGTTCAAAAGCTCTGGCACATCCATTCCAGGACATTCAGATCAATTAGAAATAGGAGAGAGTGGGATAAAAAAATTAACCAGTTCTCCCCTCAGAATGTAGAACCACCCACGAATCAAACAGGCCTCGGTGCCTGTCAGTTCTGGCTGACTGGGCTGAATTATCCAGGGATGTGTTGCATTTATTTGCATTTTTGTGAACAGAATAACCCCACTTTAACAGCAGTTAATTATATATCTGTAGCAACCCATAAATCCACACATACAAATAGAAAAGGAGAAATCTGGAGGCAGGTGGTTCCCCTGTTCTGGGACATGTTTTCAGCCCTCCACGCTGCTCAGTAATTCAGGCCACAGCGACTCAGCTCATCCCTGCCCTGCAGGCTGTGTGCAGAAAATGTCACACCAAACACCCCCTGTCCAACACCAGCCAGGGCAGGCTCTGCTCGCTGCCAGCAGCTCTGGCTTGGGAGAATTGCTTCCACCACCAGCTGGCACAGCAAGGAACCTCTGGATACGGAGGCGTCTGGGCAGCCTTGAGCATTTCAGAGAGGTAACAGCCAGTAATTTTCCTTTTTTCTGCTCTTACAGATGGGAAATCAGGAGTGAAGGCTACTGCAAAGTGCATTCCAAGCCTTCTGCACTTAAAGCAGTGACCAGTGTCCCTGCTGGAGTGGCACCAAGGAGTGGGGCCAGGAGAAGGTTGAACACTCCCTCTCCATCCCATCTCCATCACTGAGAGCTTCAAATATTTCCTGCAGTTGTCATGGATTTTTCCCAGGTTAACAGAGGGGCCTCCAGCCCCCTGTCCTGGGGGTCAAAGTGTGATCCTCTGCTGGAGAGATCCAGAGGAGGCTCCAGGGGGATCAGAGGGATGGAGCAGCTCTGCTGGGAGGAAAGGCTGGCAGAGCTGGGATTGTTCACCTGGAGAAGCTTTGGGGTGAGCTCAGTGTGGCCTTGCAGAGCCTGAAGGGGCTACAAGAAAGGAACAGGACACAGGGAATGGCTCCCACTGCCAGAGGGCAGGGATAGATGGGATATTGGGCAGGAATTGTTCCCTGGCAGGGTGGGCAGGCCCTGGCACAGGGTGCCCAGAGCAGCTGGGGCTGCCCCTGGATCCCTGGCAGTGCCCAAGGCCAGGCTGGACAGAGTTTGGTGTAGTGGGAGGTGTCCCTGCCCATGGCAGGGGTGGGATGAGATGAGATTTAAGGTCCTTTCCACCCCAAACCAATGAAGATTGTCTGAAGAAGCTAAAGGGCTGCCTGGCTGTGTGGAGCAGCACTGAGGAATGGAAGGACACAAGCTCAGATTTTGGAAGCACCTGGGCAAAGGTGCTCACAGCAGGATGAGCAGGAGCACACACAGGGCTGGGACTTCTCCCCAGGGCCCTGCAAGTGGCCAGGACCACACGAGGCTGGGACAGGGGCAGGGGACTCTCAGATCTGTGAGCATTTCATGTCCACACAGAGCGAGGACTGAAGGGATGATGTGCACAGAACAGCTCCCCACAGCTGCCCACAGCTGCTGCTGCTCTGTCAAGGTGACACCAGGTGCCAGGGGCTGGGGGACACCAGCCAGCACAGCCTGCTTTTCTCCTCTCCTTAAAATAAAAAGCATAGGCCCTTCTCCCTTGTGGACCACATGAATATTTCATCAGCAAACTGCCTCATGCTGTATTAGATTTTTCTCTCCCTCTGGCTGAGATGGGAAGCTCACAGACCCTTCCACAGCGTTTCCAGGAGCTGAGGACATTCTGGGCACAGACAGAACAATATCAGGATAAAAGGATGGAAACAGTCAAGGCTCCAAGCAATTCTGTGTCTTTGGGAAGGCGGTGCTGACTCCTAGGACAGTACTTTGATGTTCCGTGGGTGGCAATGAGGAAACACCACCTCCTGCTTGTACAGGATGAGGTTCCCTGTCCATCTGTCCCTCTCTCCTCAGGCACCCTGTGACTCTGCAGTGACATCTCTGCAGGCCTGGCTGGCCATGGGAAGTGTGAGGGAGAGGAGACATCAAATCCCCGAGATCAAATATTGCAGCTCCAACAGCCTGTGCTGGCTTCCCTTACACCAAGGGCTGTTTAAAGGAGGGCAGCTCACAGCAAGGGAGCAGGGCTGGAAATTCCATGTGCTCATGGTTTCCTTCTGGCATCCAGGCCCAGCACTGGCCACACTCCCCTGGTGTCACTACAGGAGACATTCCCTTCCCTGCTCCTTTTTGCCTCACCAGGGTTTTCACTCAGGCCCCTCCTGGCCCAGGCTGCTTCTCCCCAAATGGAAAAGGAAAATAATCTGGTTTATTTCAGAGCATTTGTAGGAGAGAAGAACTGAGGGGGGGGAGTTATTTTTTTTTTTTTACTAAGACAGAACTGCCAAGAGAGGGGAACTGCCAAGAAAGCCTCACAGGAACACCTGAGGGAAGAGCTGAGCTGCAGGAGGAAGGGCAGGAATGCACTCAGATCCAGCCCTCCACACCCACAGGTGACACAGATTAGAGGAGACCTTGAAGATCATCCAGTGCCACCCCTGCCATGGCAGGGACACCTCCCACCATCCCAGGCTGCTCCCAGCCCTGTCCAGCCTGGCCTTGGGCACTGCCAGGGATCCAGGGGCAGCCCCAGCTGCTCTGGGCACCCTGTGCCAGGGCCTGCCCACCCTGCCAGGGAACAATTCCTGCCCAATATCCCATCCAGCCCTGCCCTCTGGCACTGGGAGCCATTCCCTGTGTCCTGTCCCTCCATCCCTTGTCCCCTCTCCAGCTCTCCTGGAGCCTCTTTAGGCCTTGGCAGGTGCTCTGAGGTCTCCCCAGAGCTTTCCTGTCTCCAGGCTGGACAGGGATGTCAGTCTTTCAATGTCCAACCCAACAACCTCCTGTTGGGAAAAGCCTTAAAACCCACTCCTGGTTTGGTTCCTGGCAGGACCTTCCCTGCCAGACCAGACTGGACAATTCCTCCCCTCCAGCCCAGCTCCTCCTTGTGCCAAACAGGAACAAATCCATCCCATCCTGCAGGACCCCTGGGGGCAGGCAGGGGGAAAGCTACAGCCCAAGGGATGCCAACAGAGAGCCAGGCAATGGAGAATCACACAGATCACACAGAGAGGGCTGGGACCCGCACGGGAAGAGCCCCCCAGGGCTGTGCCTGATCCCTTTTTGCTCACCTTCTTCTCATCCCCCTCCTGCAGGAGCTGGAGGTGACTCCTCTTCTCGCTGTCCCTGCGCAGGGAGCTGTTCTGGTGGTGGGGCAGCCCTGTGGGGGGGGACACGCTGCGGCCCTGGGGGTCCACCCAGGTGTAGATGTGGTTGGTGACATAACCCCCCGGGATGCGCCCCACCGAGTGCACCGACAGGTTCAGCTTCTTGCAGCCCTTCAGCACCTGGAAGACAAGCCAAGGACAGGGGGTTAATGCCCACAGGGCCACCTGGACTTCAGGCAGACACAGCTTTGCACTTCTGGAGGCTTAAAGATCTCCAGCTCCTCTGCAGCCAGCGACTCAGTGATGGAGCTGGTGGGGAAAGCCGGGATTTTTCTGTTCTTTCTGTTCTTTGCAACAGAGTTAAGGCAAAGCTGCTGCTGAGATAACAGAGAATACTTTTCCCATCAGCCAGGGAAAGAGAAGAGTGAAGCCAAGAGGGGAGGGGAGGTGGGCAGAGCCATGCCCAGGATGGGCTGAAACCAGGGCTGAGCAGCTTCTGCAGCTCTGGAGAGGAAGCAGAGCAGGACAGGAGCAGTGCTGGAGGAGAGCAGCACTGATCCTTGTCCAAAGCCCTCTCCAGCTCTCACAGAGTCCCTTTAGGCACTGGAAAGTGCTCCAAGATCCCCCTGGAGCCTTCTCCCCTCCAGGCTGAGCATGGATGTCAGCCTCTCAATGACAGAAAACAAAGCCAGTGTGGGAAAAGCCTTCGCTCAGCCCCAGCTCTGTGCCCACAACTCCAACCTCTGCCATTGGAAAAGCTCCTGATGCCTTCAGGGAACATTGACAGCACTCCCAGAAATTCAGCCATTGAGTTACCAGCTGCCTTCCCCAGCACAAGCAGTCAATTAATGAGTGGAATAATTACTAAATACATACACACACTTAAACCAGCATGCACAGAGATGACCTTGGGGGCCACAGGAGGTGATTTGCAATTGTTCCTCTGCCCCTCCAGTTTCCACCGTGAGAAGCTGACATAGGAAACATCAATTAATATAGAGGAGTTCTCCCTGGGGACAGCTGTAAGTGCTGATCCCTCAGGAACATCAGCACTGCAGATCTGCTCTCAGAAAGGAGCTGTTTGGGGTTTTTTCCCTTGTATACATCATTTTGATGAGCTGCTCCTGCAAGGTGTCCTGTCCCCACTGAGCAGAGAAGCTGCTGAGCAAAGCTTGTGGCTGGGAAGAACTAAAACCAGCAGTAAACCTCAGTAAAGGGGGAAATTGCCAGTAATAGTGACCTGGCAGCAGTCCTGTCCCTCCCTGCCAGAGGCACGGAGAACCCAGCTCCAACCCCAGCTCCAACCCCAGCTCAGCATCTCCATCACACACAGAAACTTGGCTGCAAGCCTGGCACACGCTCCCAAGGTCACTGTGGAGGGCTGGCACAGGGACTGCCAAACCAACAGCCCCATTGGGACACCCGCACAGCACCTCACAGCACCAGCTCCAGCCCCTGCTCCTGCACCTCAAACACATCCCTGCTGGGCTGCCAGAGGTGTTCACCAGCTCCATCCTGCCCAGGTCTCTCTGGGATGATGGAGCAGGTTCTGAGCCCTCTGCCTGCTCCAGGGGACCCTTCTCCCACGGGCACCGTGGCTGTGCCAGGCTCCAGGGCACAGAGCCTCCAATGTTGATTTTGCTGCCAGCCCTGCTTTGAAAGCCACCACAGCAAGAGAGAGGGACAGAACCTGCCCACACAGACAATACAGATCATCCCAGCTCCCTGGGACAAAAGGAGAAGCTTTTCAGCAGAATGCTAATCACAGAATTCCAGAATCACTGAGGTTGGAAAAGAATTCCCAGACCATCAAGTCCAATCTGTGCCTGGTCCCCACCTTGTCCCCAGCCCAGAGCTCTGAGTGCCACCTTGGCCTTCCTTGGGCACCTCCAGGGATGGGCACTCTGAACCTCCCTGGGCAGTTCCAAGGCCTGACCACCCTTTCCATGAGGAAATTCCTGCTGCTGTCCCCCCTGAGCCTCCCCTGGCCCAGCCTGAGGCCGTTCCCTCTCCTCCTGTCCCTGTTCCCTGGGAGCAGAGCCCGACACCCCCAGCTGTCCCCTCCTGGCAGGGACTTGTGCAGAGCCAGAAATTCCCCCTGAGCCTCCTTTTCTCCAGGCTGAGCCCCTTCCCAGCTCCCTCAGCCTCTCCTGGAGCTCCAGCCCCTTCCCAGCTCCATCCCCTCAAGGTCCTTCCCAAATTGACAGGCCCAGAACTGGACACAGGATTTGAGGTGGCCCCAGCAGTGTCCAGCACAGGGGGACATCACAAAGGACATTACATCTACAAGGGAAACGTCTTCCTCCCAGACACACAAATCATCCTGTGTGCACTGACTGCACCCCCAAAACCACAGCAGAACTCATCCTGTGAGTTTTGTGGGAAATCAGGTAATCTGATGGGCACACTGAACCTCACCCAGCCAGCCCTAAATAACAAATTCCACCTCCTTAATGCTCTGTGCAGAATCAGACGGTGCAGGCTGCATCTCCTCTCAGGGATTTGCTGCCTGGTGTTCAGTGCTGCTGGGTTTTGCTCCAGCCTCAGATAAGATCTGGCTTTGCCCCTGATGTGTTTGAGGACCATGGGGTGGGAGGTTTAGGGCTGGCACCGCAGTGTGCATGCTCACCTGCCAGCAGCACAGCTTAAAGATATAATTTATGTGATTCTGGGAATTAGTGCCAAAACCTTTAGTAGAGGAACAGTCACCAACTGCCCAGAAATGTCATCAGAAGCAGCAAGTGCCAGAGAGAGGGGCAGATTGATTCCATGAGGCCACTGATCCCCTAACAACACTCTATTTAATTATCTGTCAAGCCATCTGAGAGGGAAGATCATTTAAACTGATCAAAAAAGGAAACACACATCTCGTGCCACAATTACCTTTTAAAAAACCCCATAAAACCCAAACAGCTCCCAGTGCATCATGTTCTATCCTAGGATCCAGAGTGACCCTTCTGAAACCCTGCCAGTCTCACATCACCGAGGGCTTTCCTCTCCCACCTTCACCATTTCCCCCCTTTTATTCCTCATTTCCCAATATCCCTGAGAGGTTGTGTAAAAGCATCTCCAAAAACCTGCCCAGAAGGAGCACAGATGCCAAAAATCAGTGGCAATTAATCAGCAGGATCCTCCTGTCAGTGTGCCCCTCGCAGGGACACAGCTCCTCTCTGCACCTTCCCTGCTAAGGAGAGGAGCATCGGCTCCTGGGGGAAGGAGTGGGAAGATCCCAGTTGGATACTGGGAGCATTAACCATGAGCCATCCTCCCCCTCGCCACAGCCTCAAGATGCTTTTCCTTCCTGGCAGGAACAAAGCTGGATTAGCTCTGGGATAATGGGCATGGAATAATGGCTGTGGGATAAAGGGCATGGGATATTGGGCATGGGATATTGGGTATGGAATAATGGCTGTGGGATAAAGGGCATGGGATATTGGGTATGGGATATTGGGTATGGAATAATGGCTGTGGGATAATGGGTGTGGGATATTGGGCATGGGATATTGGGTATGGAATAATGGCTGTGGGATAAAGGGCATGGGATATTGGGCATGGGATATTGGGTATGGAATAATGGCTATGGGATAACGGGTGTGGGATAGTGGGTATGGAATAATGGGTATGGAATAATGGCTATGGGATAACGGGTGTGGGATATTGGGTATGGAATAATGGGTATGGGGTAATGGGCATGGGATAATGGCTGTGGGATAATGGGTGTGGGATAATGGGTGTGGGATAATGGGCGTGGTATAATTGTGGGATATTTGGTGTGGAATAAAGGGCATGGAATAATGGCTGTGGGATAATGGGTGTGGGATAATGGGCGTGGGATATTTGGTATGGAATAAAGGGCATGGAATAATGGCTATGGGATATTGGGTATGGAATAAAGGATATGGGATAAAGGGCATGGGATATTGGGTATGGAATAATGGGCATGGGATATTTGGCATGGGATAATGGGCATGGAATAATGGCTGTGGGATAATGGGCGTGGTATAATGGGTGTGGGATATTTGGTGTGGAATAAAGGGCATGGAATAATGGCTATGGGATAATGGGTGTGGGACAATGGCTATGGAATAATGGGCATGGGATAACAGGCATGCAACAATGGCTATGGGATATTGGCTATGGGATAATGGGATAATGGGCATCGCTCTGGGTCAGTGCTGAGGTTATCAACCAGCAAAGCACCGAGAATTTGTCAGCACATCCCAAAAAGTACAGCACAGGCTTAGAAGCCAAGCTGCAAAGGGAAAGAAATGCTGAGATACCAGAGGAGGGAGGCAGAGGGAGCTTTTACAGCACGTTCCAGCACCGTGCAGGGAGAGATTGGCAGAAGTTTGTCCAACCACCAGTTCCTGCTCCATCCCGGGGTGTTCCTGCTGGACTCCGGTGGGTTGAAGCTTGTGGGATCAGATGGACTGAACACAACAATCCTGCTGGGGAGGGGCTGCAGGGCAGCAGCTTTTACAGGAGAGGGATTGAGCCACATCAGCTCAAAGGCTCCTCTGCAGAGACAGGACAGCAGGCACAGGCACCTCCTGCCCCCAAGGGAAGGAAGGGATCAGCTCCAGGATCAGCTCCAGGCAGGATGGATAAAAGGCCATTGCAACTCCTGGTTAAGGCCAAATTTGCCAGGTGAAGCAAGGAGAGACTGTCCCCTGGCCCAGACTGTAGAGTGCAGTTGGAAATAAGGTATTTTGGAACAAGTGTTGCCCTGAGAAGCTGTGGCTGCCCCTGGAAGTGCCCAAGGCCAGGTTGGATGGGGCTTGGAGCAACCTGGGATAGTGGGAGGTGTCTCTGCCATGGAACTGGATGGGTTTTAGGTCCCTTCCAACCAAACCAGTCTAGGATTCCATGATTTTAAGTCTATCCCATCCCCACGTTGCCTGACAGAGCCCAAGGAGCTGGATCTGAGCAGAGGAACTGGAAGCCTGGAATTCTCTGACGTGGGCAAACAGCTCATCCCTGAGCAGGGAGGGAGAGAAGTGGAACAAGGAAAAGATGACCCAGAGGCTGGAGGGGAGAGCAGGACACAGAAGGAGGCTGAGGGAAGCACGGATGGAGGGACAGCAGTGGGTACCATGGTCCAGGGGATGCGGGGGTGACACGGGGGTGACACGGGGGTGACACGGGTGTGACACAGCCTCCCTGCAGGGAGACAAATGGGA